CCTTCTTTCCCTATGTATATTCTTTGCTGAGCTATAACGATATCGATCAAGGCTCTGGGAATGAAAACAGAATATTTATATATTTACACGTTCGTATGTTCATTATACAAATCCGAAATCCTGAAAAAAATCGAACCAAATTTAGTGTGCATACGTTTGGAGGCACGGTTTTCGACCACTGTCCACTTTAAAACTCTCGTTCTCTCTCTGGTACACGCACTCCATCCCGAAGAATGGGTTTTCCAATGAATTAAGTAAGTGTTTCGTAATATCAGTCATAAGTTTGGTAGACTATTTGATCAAACATCTGTTTCATTAGAACTCTAATATATCAATATAATAATGAAGGTGACAAATTATGAGGAGATGTCACTTAGTTAGCATTCTGAAATCAATATAAAGCCATGTGTTTTCTTTATAATACTAATGCCTTTAAGGCTTGTTTTAATAAACAGAAAAAATTTTGAGTCAAAAAGAATAATGAAATAAAAATGAAATTGTACTAAATGCCAATTTATTGAGATAATTCTGATTGCAGTCATTTTTGACTATACCGCGTTGAGTATTACTATATTCATAGCTAGATTTTGTTACTAAATCAATATTTTTAAAATTAATAAAATAAATCAACTGAAAATAGCAACAAAAACAAAACAAAAAGCTTTTACAGAAATTTTGTATTAACTCACGATAAAGAGAGATAATTGATATCAGAGATAGAAAAAAAAATTATATTCATTTCTTCCACATAATGCTCATTTGTGAAAAATGATTATAAAAATATAAGAGTCATTAGCAATTATTTTTGAGAATTTTAATTGCGCTTTTGTACAATCTTGAATCTCATAAATTAAAATTGAGGAAGCAAAAAAAAACTAAAATGGTGTGCCACTTCAGAAAATTTAAAACATAGCTGAAAATGAGGTATCTGTTATATTGTATCACCGTGCTCTCTAAAAAAATATTTATTAAATTATATTCATTTGCATTAAGTCCCAATTCCGTAGAAAAATGTATAGCAATGTAAAAAAATATATTTTACATTGACTTGATTTATTTGCCAATAATTATTGTACTATTATCAATGTACTATTATATTATTGTATTTTTTGTACGATATGAAAATTCAATTGTAAATTCTATATCAAGGCTAAAAAGGAGGTATCTGTTAACACTTTAATGCTGAATTTTTATAAAATATTAATACATTTTCCAACATTTTGTATTAATTTAGGTCAGAATAAGTGAAAAATACTATATTTAGTATTTTAATAATTTATGGCTGTGAAATATCAGAAGCACTAATTTCTTTTCCTACGTTAAAAGAAAAATCTTCCAACCATAGCTCAATAATATTTCAAATTTGCACTTATTTGCAGTTATTTAGATCTAAAAGAAACAGTTACTCATCATTGAATTTTTTTGATCCTTAAAGTCAATTATGAAGACAGTTTTGAATATGAATGAGAGAAAAAATTTCTTAAATTGTAAAATTTCTTTATAAACATAATTCGATAATCAAATAATTTTTTTAATTGTTTCTCATTAACTGTTTCTAATTAATTGTTTTTTTAACTAAAAAATAACAATAAATACTTTTGCTTGTAATTAGATCTTCTAAAATATATATTTATATAAAAGGAACAACGATGATCGATTGGCGTCAAAGGTGCCAAAGGTCAAAGCTTTGATCTCCAAAAATGATTTTAAAACAGTTATATCAAAAATACTTATTTTTACTAAATTCGAATTCAGCAGGAAAATTTACAGCACACCTAAAAGAGGTTTATAAGAAATGTTACCACAGTTTAAAGGCATCATTACAGCAAAGGATTCAATTTTACTGCTTAAGGATTAATACTTACAATGCGTATTTCAATTCTTATTGTAATATCGTAATTATTCTTATGAATCGAAATTGAAATCATTATTTATACCCAGAGAAAATATTCCCATTTAAAATTACCGTTTTGCATGATAATGACATTTATGGGTAAAAATAATCATAATTTTATTAATAAAAACCAAAATATACAGTATTTAAACCATTAATTTGTTAATTTCTCCGTTCGTATGGTAACGGTTTACCAGAAATTCTGATTTTTTTCAAAATTATGCTTTTTATTACTTAACTCAAAATACAAAACTGAAAAGTAAATATTACCGAATAAATGGTTTTTATGCCATGCACTAAGGAAACATAATAAAATTACCAAATTTTATCACATTTGCAAAATTTTATCACGCATTACAAAACCATATTTTATTGTTACTTTTTACTAAACTCATTACCAGAGAGCTTAAGTAAAAATAACCAAGCTTTTCAGTCTTCTCATGGAGCCAGAGACACGGTACATTTTACCAAACTCTGATAGTTTTGATCATATTTGTTTTCTCAGTGTCCAGAATATATGGTGGACTTTCCAAATGTAATAATATAAAATACTCCTTAAATCTGTTTTTTTTTTAATTATAGAATTCCCGGAACATCACTTTAACTTATTATTGTTCACAATAGTTGGTACCAACTTAGAGAAGTATTCGCAATTCTGGTGCTACATAAGACAATAGCGTGATTTATTTAAAAACAGCGTAGGAAATACATTATTTTTTCAATAATTTCTGAATAAAGCATTATACTTTTAGCTTATCTTTCTATTTTAGGATGGATATTAAATCTAAAAATATTGCACTAAAAAAAACATCTTTTGAAGCTAAACATAATCTCTAACAGATGTTGTTTTTCCCAAAAGAAATAATTCCTAATCATTTTTATAAGTGAACGTCGTAAATTTGTTTCCCCGATCACAAGTTTTTTTGACATTTAACCGAGAGATGGCGTTTCAAAAACAAAAATGTTCGAGAAAAGCAAACAGTCAATAAGTTCCAAAAAAAAGTACTGTAAACACGAGCATCGCGAAAAAGCTAAGTGGAATAACACAAACTTGAGAGACTATGAAAATGAGGAAGGCAAAAAATATTTTGCTTCTCGCCGACTGAAATTTTCAGACGTCGGAGAGATGCGCCATATTTACCTATGGTGTACTTAAAAAAAATCCATAGGAGTAAAGTAAATACGCGATGCAAGTCTTAGTGGTCCGAAGAACTCTTTTTCGACGAATATATGAATTTTTGTGTGATTGTTTTGCATCGATATTGTTTTTATTATGAAGAAAAATATTCTTAACGCTTCGAGTCAAATTTCAGTTTGGCAGGAATTTTTAAATTATTATAAAAAAAGATTTAAAAAAATGCATAGGGTTATTTTGCACAAGTAGTTTTTGAATAGTCTATGAAATTGTGGCAAACTCTTGAGAAGATGAACAAACGAAATTATTTTCTCTAAAAAATTAAATTGTGAAAATATTCATAGGATTTGATTTCACACGGAGAAAAAATTCTATCAAAATGACAGTACTCTATGGTAATGGCATTACTGATCATATTAGTGAGAAAGATAAGCTTTATCGATCTTGCTTGTGTAATATTTGCATGAAACATAAATCAAATTCAATTTTTACTAAGTTCATAACAAATTGGAATAGTGCTTTCCCAACATTAAGTGAACATAACTATTTTAAGTATCACTACCATGTCGCAACAATAGACTAATATTTCCGGAGAAATTTTTTTTAATTGATAAAGAGTAATTTATTCATAATAGTAAACTTAGAAATGTAGCTTAAGATTGCTTAGATACAAGGAGAAAATAATTCTGCTAAAATTACTGAACAGTATGGTAATGACATTTCTGGTAAAAAAAAAAAAAAAAAAAAAAAAAAAAAAAAAAAAAAAAACTCTGGTATCGAAAACTAAAATATACGGTATTTAAAGCATTCATTTCATATATTTTTCTTTCATATGGTAACGATTTATCGGAAGTACTGGCTCTAAAAATTATGGTTAATATTAACTCATATTTATTAAAAAATACAAAGTAAATTTAGCAAAAAAATGATTTTCATAAAGACTTTGAGTGTCTTGATAAAATTATCAAATTTACTCAATTTCATCGCATATTATAAAGCCATATTTTATCATTAATTTTACCGAAATCATTATCAAATCGCTTCAGAAAAAATTTCACGAGCTTTTTCATGTTCCCATAGAACCAGAAACACAGTAAATTTTATCATATTTTGGTAGTTTTGCAACTCTTTTCTCAATTTTTGCAAACTTTTTTCTCAGTGTACATGCCTTTACGTGACTAATTAAGATTTGAATAGTCTCACAAATTAATACAGAAAGTATTTTGTTTTTCTAGGAAATTAATATTTAGTTGGGATCATGACAAAAAAACGAGTCTCGACAACTTCCACTTTAGTAAATTTTATGATTTTATGATACTTTGTCAACACACAAATGTGAATGACATGCATAAATTGACTAGAACAGTATAAGATTTTATTTTTATATATAGTATTGTATTCCGAATAGTGACCGTTACCCTTTAAATTAGTTGATCTCAAAAGTTACTTTTCGGTGCATTCAAGATTTTTTTTCGATGCTGTGAAATCAAAGGGAAATAAAATAAAATTCTTTGCAAATTTATTCCAAAAAACATCTTTGGAAACCTAAAGATTTACCAGAATCTAAACTACGAAAACGAAAACAAGAAAAATGAAAGATGACACTGAATTGCATGGAGGTCTCAGTTAGAGGACTTTCGCCACGCATTCAGTGCAAATTTAACATGATGCTTCATATTCAGAGATGTGTAATAAATAAGAAAAAAGAAATATACTAAAGAATAAAAGCATTATAATGATAAAAATGAAGAAAATCTCAAAACATATTCAAGCGACTTCTTTCCCCATATTTAAATATTCCAATTGATTTCCCATTTTCAATGTTCAATATTTTTCTTTTTTTAATTTCCAAAATAAAACTAAGGAAATATAAGGTTATATGTATTGATAAACATTTCTAATATGTAGAATTTCAAATTAAATATTCTGAGCTTTGATTACTAAAAATGAGTCTTAGTTAGTTAAACTTACCAATAGTAGATCCGTACATATGATACCAAAATAAAAAGCATCCTCCACTTTTATGTTCTGAATAAACTGGTGAAAAAAGACGAGATATGTCATTAGGTTTTCTCGGAGAAGATACTTCTTGATACAAGTAAAAACCTGAAAAAAATGCAAGAACATGTATTAAATAACAAGAATAGCCTATATGCCTATTTCACCAACTGTATGTAAAAATTATAAGAAAAAAATCATAGTTTGAAATGTTTGGTGAATAAATTTGAATTTTAATACATTTTTAGATTTTTTAATAGTCTAAACGTTAAAATGGCATTTTGCCTAATCATTTTCTATGATTGAAAAAAAAATTTAAAAATCAATTTTAATATCAGCATAGAAAAAGCATTTTTCCTCAATGCATAACTAATTAATGAAATATTTAGCAAAATTAATATTATTCTTATAACTTCGAGTTTGGAACTCAAGAAAAATATTTAAAAAATATTTAAAAAAAACCTTTCCTAATATCTATAGTTAATTATTAGTTAAAGCGTGAGAACTTAATTTATTCAACAATGGAAAGGGTAATATTTTGTACTGTGTATACTAAAGCAAAAAAAAGGTAAATAAAACACAAATGAAAGTACATGACCTGACATATTATAGTTTCAGAGTTAACGGATATAAGTTCAATTCCCTCACACCTGTTTCTTATATCCCCATTGTTATATCCTCGTTCAAACTTACTTCTCTCTCCCTATTGGTTAAACTACTTTACACGCGTTTCTCTCTTTACTTCTCCATCTTCATTTGACGTTTAGACACTGAGGAAGGATCTTGTTTATAAAACTGAAACAATAGTATGTCAATTCATGAACTTTGATTTGTGCTTTATTCGCGTTCTTTTTTTCTTTTCCTTTTTTTTTGTTGTTGCTCAAATGTAATTTATTAATTATTGATAATATGTTTTACTACATAATTCATTATTTTATCAAAATAGAAGTAAAACTCACAATGATATATGTTACCTAAATTCCATTTTTCTGCTAACGAATTATTGTTAGGTTATTTCAACTTAAAGTTGACCACAATTATTTAACTGTGTAATGGTCATTTTCAGACAGTAGATATCAAGTAAATGTATACAAATAATTTTAAATATTGAAGAATGTAAAATAGCGAATGATTAAGAAAAACTTGATTGAGCTATAAAACCTTTAAAATTAGACCAATTTGTATCCAATTAAGAATGTTTTGAATTATAATGTAAGACTAAATATTATTATAGCTGCACTGTGTGATTGAAAATAAATCAAAATCACAGCTCATAAATTAGTGAAATAAATGTAAACAACCACTGTTTTTTTAATTTTTATTATGAACAATTTTTGAGAAACTAAAAAAATGCAAAAGAAAAGTATTAAAATTAAAACTTCTTAAACTTGAACTAAAACCCACTTTATTTCAACATCTTATTTAGATTACAGCAAATTTGCATGATATCGTTCATCGTTGAACAAAATTTTATGAAAGAATACACCACAAACCTTGTTTAACTGCAAAAAATTGAACTAAAATTTCATAAATAAATGGAACCCAAATATTTTCTGATAAATTTAGCTTCTTCAGCTCAAAGATAAAATCTTTATTTTAACCAATAAATAAATTTATTACAATGAAATTACATGGCTTCAAGAATCATAATATCGGGAATGGTATAAAATATAGGCTTACAGTACGAAAAATATGTGGTCCAAACTACCAGAATATAGCAAAATTAACCATGCTTGGGGCTCTATGGGCACAACAAAAAAACTCGGCAGTATTTGAAGTAGGGCTTTGGTAATGATTTTTGAAAAATTATCAATAAAATTTTGCTGTTCAATCTGCGCTTAAATTTTGTAAACGTAGTAAAATTTAGCAATTTATCATTAGCCGCGATGGCTCAGGGAATAGAGCGTTCACCTTCCAATGAGGTGAACCGGGAATCGATCCCGGCAATAGCTGGTCGATAGGAATTCCGCATCCGGCTTGCACCGACCGCAGTGCTGACGCGAAATATCATCAGTGGTTGACGGATCATGGGTTAGAGTCCCCATGCCGTCAGGCTAACAGTGGGTGGTTCTCGTGGTCTTCCTCTCCATTTAACGCAAATGCGCAATACTTGATCCAGGAGTTTTCTTGTCTTCTGGATTGGGTTCAAAATTACATGGCTACAGAGTTGAACATTAGTAGTCGTAAACCCAAAAATTGGGTCGGCTGTTCAACGACGGTCATAAAATATAAAATTATAAAAAAAATTTCATGATGATTTAAAGCATGGTTTAGTTTTTAATAGTTTAGATTTGTATTTTTTAACTATGTGTGGTAATAAGAGCTATAGTTTTGAAAACCAAAATTTCCAGTAAACCGTTACCATATGAACAAAAGCCTTTGGAATGGTTTAAATACAGTATATTTTAGCTTTATTACCAGAATTAAGGGGAGTTGTCTTTTTTTTATCAGAGATGTCTTTACCATACAATACGGTAATTTCATTAGATTTTCTTTTTCTCTGAAGAAAAGACTTATGAAGAAAACATTAATTTAATTAGCCTACAAGAATAATTTATCCTTCATACATAAAAATTCAAAAAGTCTATTTTTAAAGAGGTAAAAACCATGATTAAGAAACTTGAAATACCTCCTTTCCCACTTCCAAATGTGTGGTCATAAGATGGACCAGTACCAGCGTGTCCAGATGGAGTAGAAAATTGATTTCGTTTCCAGTCAAAGTCATGAGTAGGATCTTGCGACCATCCACATAAATCTGGATCTTCAAAGTCACATGACAAGGAAGCATTCGTTATTGCCACTGAAAATGAAATTGCATAGTTAAATGCCTGTAAATTATAAATATCAAATGAATGAAATTTATAAATATTTTTTTAAACAAAAAAACGCGTGCGTGTAATTTTTAATAGAAATATTGTTGTTCATAGTCAGCTGATTTTCAGAACAAATTCTTTTAGGCTTTTAATCAAATACCTCTTACCTCATATAATGAACTGTAACCTCACATGTAACCTTTCTGTACCTAAATGTAACTTTACTATAACCTTATATAATGCACTACTTAGAGCGGGTTGAAACGCTTCATTAAAACTCCCTGCAACTTTAATATAGTAATTGAACGCTATTATCGCATTTCCTAAACTTGATTACGTGACTAGGTAATTCAAATTGAGCGAAATTGTATCGAATTTGCACCAAATTATAATTCTAAGAACCAATATTTTTTCAAACTAAAGGGATTTTTTTCTGAGATAATAGGATTGCAATAAAAAATTTAACAGTTTAGAAGATATTAAACATAAGCACTTTTGACAGTTCAGAAAATTAATGGCTTGCTGTATGGGAATGTCCAAGTGTTGTATTATCATATTAGTGCAAAAGCTAGACTTTATCGTACTTTCTTTTGTAATATTTACTTAAAACATGGATCAAATTGAATTTTTACTTAGTTTGATGCAAACTTGAATGATGTTTAACAAAACGAAAGGGACGATAATTAAGTATCACTATCAAGTTATAACAAAGAACAATATTTCCAAAAAGGTTTAGAAAGCAATCTCATTCATGATCACTAACTTTGCTCTATAGCGTGTGATTGTTTAGAGTGGTACATGAAGAAAAGAAATTCTGTTAAAATTACAGCGAAGTATGAAAATGAAATTTCCGGTAAAAGAAAATCAATTCTGATAACTAAAACCGAAATATACGATATTTAAACAATTTCTTTAGTAATTTTCCATTCATAATAAAACAATTCTGGTTCTCAAAATTATAGTTCTCATTTCCTCATATTTATTAAAAAATACAAAAAAGAAAAGTAAATGAAAGGTTCTATACTCCAATGGTAAGGACGCATTTTTAACATGATAACAATCCGTCCTTACCACATTTACCAAATTTTATCACATAATACAAAACCATATTTTTTTAACTTCACTGAAATCATTACTAAATCACTTCAGTAAAAATTTACCGAGCTTTTTGGTGTTCCCATAGAGCCAGCGAAGCACGCTAAACTTTACCATATTCTTTTAAGTTTGTCTATACTTTTTTTTATCAGTGCACGTATTAAAAAATACTTATATTCACGCCATGAAACCTTTTTTGATGCGAATAAAAAATAATTTTTTTATTTTTTGTAAGTATTATCTTTACATTTATAAATTAAGAAGAATATTTTCCGAATTAGTAAAATTGCCTAAAATTAAAATACGAAATCGAATTGTATTCAATTCACAATTTTATGTTGAAAATTAAAATTGAACTTTGTTAAGCATGAAAATAATATACGATAATATATATATATTTTTTAATAGGTTTTTAAATTCCAAAAATAAGGAATGAAAAAAAATCCATGTAAGCAAACTTAAAATATCACAAAACTTTTTTTTATATTTATGATTCGTTTGTGAAATAGTACAGGGTGAAAAAAAAAAACTCAAATCGAAAATTCAACGATATTTAAAACAAACTATTATAGTTTGTTAAGTTAAACTTCCAGAAAAATTATGCTGAAACCTTAGGACGTCTTTTCTTTAAAACAAACGCGATCGCAACGATTTTTTACCTTAAACAGCAAATAACCAAACCAAAAGGGAAATTTAAACTGCACAAAAAGTGATAAATTGCTTGAATAAACAAAAGAACACGTATCAACTAAACATAGAATTATGAATAGCGGGTAAGTTTGAAGGAGACAAATATTCTTTCACCCTGGATTATTTATGTTTCCGTTTATTGGAAAAATAAATGCCAGTTTATAATTGGGTAGTAACCCAAATGACCCATATAATTAAAAACATGTAAAACCCGTGCATAAAAGATTAATGAATAGTGGTATAGGGAAATAGGAAGAGTGACGATTATCTTTTTTTCTTTTTAAAAAAAAAAGACGTATTCTGATATTAATAATTGTATTATTATTAGATAGCGTAACAAACTAAATATATTAGGTAACGTAAATGCTCAAATAAAAATAAAATCTCGAACAATGGATGAATTTCTTTGCAGGTTGTTCGCCCAAAGCGAATTTTTAAATCTGATTTTGATTTAGTTTTCAGTTTTTGGTTTAAATCTTTTAATGAGACATGGCGAAAAGATTCTGGTATGGTAATGGCATTTGTGGTGAAAGAAACACGATTCTATTTAATAAGACCAAAATATACGGTACTTAAACCATTGATATGGTAACGGTTAACTGGAAATTATGGTTTTCAAAAAATAGTTCCTATTACTACACATTTATTAAAAAATAGAAAATTAAAAGTAAATCTAATCAAATAAATGACTTTTATGTCATGCTCTAGGGTAACATAATAAAATTTATAAATTTTACAGCAATTACCAAATCTTATCATATATTATAAAACAATATTTTATTGTTAATTTCACAAAGAACATAACCAACGCACTTCTGTAAAAATTACCGAGATTTTGGTGTTCAAATGTAGACAAAAACATGGTAAATTTTAAATTATTCTAAAAGTTTTGACCATACATTTTTTTTATTCGTCTTAAAAAAAACTTAATTCGTTTTGATAGATACATATAACTGCAAAGCTAATAAAATGCAAATGCAAAGCTAATAAAACTAATTTGAAGACAACCAGATTTAAGGTTAAGGTTAAAAATATTTATTGTTTATTTTTTAAAAAATCTTGAAGGTTTTTATTTTGTTTAGATGTAAGTAATGTAATTACACTTTCCTTGCCTGCAGATATATTCAGAAAGGACATTTCATTTGCAATTTATTTCTTTGATATCAGTAATTATCTTTACTAAACTTTTTTCTGATATACTTTTAGTAATACAAGATTTTAAATGAATGAAAACTGTGATGCCATTAGTAATATTAACGGGATATTTAAACGCAAATTTTACAACTTGCAAGCAAATTTAATAGCAGTTGATTGTTTAAACAACAGCACTTCCAACAATACTCGTTTGATTCAAGAAAAAGCTATCGAATTACGATTGTTTTTTGAAAGTGAGAGAAAGAGAAAGAAAGATAGTTTAAATTATTTGAAATATTAATAATTTTAAATTGCAAAAATTAAAAATAATTTTGTAAGATTATTTTGAATAACAAAACAAATGCTTAGCTAATCAAAGCAAAGTTTTCAATTACTTTTTCCGATCATGAGTCAACTTTCCGAGAGCTTTAATTTAGGTATTTCCATTTAGTTAAATCTATTTAAAATATAAAACAGTAAGATATAAACAGTAAAGTATAAACTTTCTTCTGAAACAGTAAGAGGACAAATATACTGATTTCATGGTAAAACTGTGCGAATATATAGCTGTTTTACCATTCTATCCGTTCGTCTACTCTGAGCCTCCACAGAAAAGAACTTTACTTATATTGTTGATTAAGTTGTACACTGTTTAGATTGCAAACTATTGATTTAGGTTAATAGGGATTGGAGTTCAAAACAAATATCCAAATAAAAATCCAAAAGCATTTTCTTTTACAAATTGTGTTTATGTGCAAAGAAAAAGTATGGTCAAAATAACCAGAATATGACAAAATTTAAGGTGCAGTGAAAATTCTCCTAAACGCCACCTCTACTTAAGGGCCACCTCTATTAAGGGCCAATATTTTGAGGAACGAAAATTTTCCTAATAGACATAATGTTAATTTTCCTCCCATCAGAGGGCCACATTTTCCTGACTACCTCCAATAAAGGCCATTTATTTTTTAAAAAAATTTCTCAAAAATTATATTGTTTTAAGTTTTAAAAAAACACAATACATATTTTTTTTAAACTTATTTGTTCAATTTTTTCAGGAGTTCAGTCTTATTCAGATAATGAGAATGAGTCCCCCGTGCCATATTTATCAAACCAAGAAGCGCTAATAGAAGTAAATAAACTGATATCCCAATCTAAAGCATTAATAAATGATGTGAATTTTACTAATTTGTTTCATAGAGTTAAGGAATCATTAGAAACTAAAATTGTTTGCGAAAAAATTGTAAAAAGTAAACAAACTTCAATTGAAATTTTTTTAAACATGTATTAAAACTTAAAATGTTAATAAACAGTTTTTTTCTACATAAATTTTGATTTCCTCATTTTATTTTTTGGTCACCCCCAATTAAGGACCACCCCTCATAAGGGCCAATTTTCAATGGAACGACATGTGGCCCTTACCGAGAGGTTTCACTGTATTTCTGACTCACTGGGAACACCAAAAAGCTCGGTAATTAGTAAAAGCTCGAAGTGCATTAGTAAAATTAATTAATAATAATTGGCAAAAAATTTTTAAAAATTAACTATTGAATATAGTTTTATAATATGTGATTAAATTTAGTAATCTCATCTTAGAGCATGGAATGAGAACAGTTTATTCGATTAAATTTTCGTTTTAGTTTCGTATTTTTTACAAAACGTGGGGTAATGAGAACTATAATTTTAAAAACCAGATAGCTTTATATAATATTGAAAACAGAATTATTAAAATGAGCTAAATTTTAAGTAAAATGAACATCTAACTTTATACCCATAAAGTGATATAAAGTAACATCTAAAATTTTAGATGAATATTAAATTGCATAGTATACCCTGCAAGTAAATTTAGTTTCTAAAAAAATATATTATTACTTCAGGAAAAAATTATTAATTTCTCATAAATTTAATTTAATGATTCGTAATTTTTAAATTCATTATATGTATTCAATTAATATTGTTCAAGTCTTAATGTATTCTAATTTAAAAATTTCTTGACTTATAAATAATCTATATTTGACATTTTACTCAAATATTATCAAACCCTGAAAGAATATTTAAAACCATATTTTTT